CCTCCCCCCCCAAAAATCCCCAGTTCCCCACCCTTCGGACAGCTGTTCCAATGGGATAGGAAAGCTGTGTCTGCTTTCTCTGGCACCAGGATGTTATCTGTTGGCTGCTCCACACGAGCAACCCACGGCGGGGGTGGGAGCAGCAGGGGCAACCGCTCTGTCATTCAACGCACCCACCCACCCCCGGTAGCTTCGCACCAAGGCTACGGTAATGACTGCTTACGAATAGGTGTGGGCGAGCTCTTTCTCGCTCTGCTGTTTTTCTAGCAGGGGAACAAAAAGTAGGCAGCTGGCTTGGTCGTCCGTCAAAGTGCTGCTTGCTTTCTTCTTGGACCGGACAGCTAGGGCAGGATGGTCTGTCTGGAGGAGGAACGGCTCAGCTACTGTATTGTACACAATGGCTCTGTGTGCACAGGATGCTAACTCAAAATATTTACCTGTAATGTTGTGCTGTGTGTTGAGTTTAACCCACTGATTGTTTACAAGGAACCCCTGCCAGACTGGTAAACTGGTTTGTGATCTTTAATGCAGGCTATTGTTTCAAATGGGTCGCCTTTGTTCCCATTTTTGATGAAGAAGTAAAGCTGGAGAGGATTAGTGACTTGACCAAAGCCATGCTTTGAAAGATGCTTAAGAAGTCCCTGCTCTGTTCTTTTGCTTCGTGGGTGTAACCTCTTGTATGAAAGTGTAGAAATCTGGAGGGGGTGTGACTCGGGGTGCACAGGGGTACATTGAGATCTACTGCTAATTTGTAGTTGATCACAGGGTTTCTGATTCCTGTTGTTTTGTTTAATAACAGCAGTAACAACAAAAACAGCAACAAAATATTGTTATAAATTAGGCTACTAAGGTTGTTGTTTCGTCGTTTAGTCGTGTCCAACTCTTTGACCCCATGGACCAGAGCACGCCAGGCCCGCATGTCTTCCACTGCCCCCCCGGAGTTGGGTCAAATTCATGTTGGTAGCTTCGGGGACACTGTCCAACCATCTCATCCTCTGTTGTCCCCTTCTCCTCTTGCCTTCACACTTTCCCAACATTCTTTTCTCATGAGATGGCCAAAGTATTGGAGCCTCAGCTTCAGGGTTGATTTACTTCAAAATGGATAGGTTTGTAGTGCAGGGGGCTCTCAAGAGCCTCCTCCAGCACCACAATTCAAAAGCATCAGTTCTTCGGCCATCAGCTTTATATTCCAGCTCTCACTTCCTTACATCACTACAGGGAAAACCATAGCTTTGACTATTCGGACTTTTGTTGGCAAGGTGATGTCTCTGCTTTTTAAGATGCTGTCAAGGTTTGTCATTGCTTTCCTCCCAAGAAACAGGCATCTTTTAATTTTGTGGCTGCTGTCACCATTTGCAGTGATCATGGAGCCCAAGAAAGTAAAATCTGTCACTGCCTCCATATCTTCCCTTCCTCTTTCCTAGGAGGTGATGGTACCACTGGTCATGATCTTAGGGTTTTTTTTTTAATTTTGAGCTTCAGACCATTTTTTGCACTCTCCTCTTTCACCCTCATTACGAGGTTCCTTAATTCCTCCTCATTTTCTGCCATCAGAGTGGTATCATCTGCATATCGGAGGTAGTTGATATTTCTTCCGGCAATCTTGTTTCCACCTTGGGATTCCTCCAATCCTGCCTTTCCCATGATGTCTTCTGCATATAAGTTAAATAAGTCGGGGGACAATATACAGCCTTGTCATACTCCTTTCCCAATTTTGAACCAATCAGTTGTTCCATATCCAGTTCTAACTGTTGCTTCTTGTCCTACATATAGGTTTCTTAGGAGATAGATAAGGTGGTCAGGCATTCCCATTTCTTTAAGGACTTGCCATTGTTTGCTGTGGACCACACAGTCAAAGGCTTTTGCGTAGTCAATACAGGAGAGGTAGAAGATAGCTTAGGCCAAGAATTGGTGGTGGATTCCTATGTAACAGGTAGGAATAGTTCCATTCTGGTGTTGAAAATCTTTTGCATAATCAATGAAGCAGAGGTAGAAGATAGTTTAGGCCAAGAATTGGTGGTGGATTTCTATGTAACAGGTAGGAATAGTTCCATTTTGGTGTTGAAAACAAATTTCTGGTTTGAGTATTTGCTCAAATATACTCCTGTTCCTTAGTTCTAATGACATGTTTAGCCCTGCTCCCCAAATGCATAACCACTGTTTTGCACCTGGATGTAATTGATGAATCTCAGGCAGGGTTCTAGGGGAAAAAACAACAAAGTAGACCTTGCAAGCCTGAGGACTCTGCATCCCTGATGTAGAGTCCTGAGTTCAAATTTAACCTCAACCATATGAACTAACTGGACAGTTTTATCTCTTACTCTCAGTACCCACAGCATTGGCAACATGGGTAATATGGCAATATGTCTCTACTATCTTTAAATATTGCAAGATTAGTAAGTTAACATATTTACAACTTTATAGGAATGTTTTCTTCTTTTTCTTTCTGTTTCTGTTCATAAAATGAAAGTGCCTAACTATCTGGCTGGATAGCTCAGTGGTTTGGGTATCTGACTGTGGAGTCTGAGGTTTGGAGTTCAAATCCCCACTGTGCCTCCTGGGAGAAGAGCCAGCCTGTGTAGTCATGGGTAAGCTGCACAGTCCCAGGGCACCCCAGAGGAAGGGAACACTAACCCACTTCTGAGTACTCTCTGGAAAACCCTGAAAAGGCTCATCATAAGTCAGCATAAACTGAATGATATATGATTATTAATAATTACCTGCATATATTTTTCCTGCTGTGAGAAAACAGCAGGTTGGGACAGTATCTACATGTTAGTTGTTCAGCTCAGGAAAAAAAATAGTTGTGTTGCCTTTTTTACACTTGGTATGCATTATTTTAAAAAATCTCTGTGCAGGTGGGAAAAAGATAAAAAATACTACATTTGGAACAAAGAAGGGTTGAGACAATTCTAGGGCCCACAAGTGAACAAGTACTTGAGTATACAGTAGGTCCCACTGAACTCAGTGGGATTGGCTTCAAGAACTGAGCTTTTGTAATATTCTTCTAAGAATACAATTCTTAAATTCAGGTCTCATGAATTTCATCCGGAAAGCAACCTACTCTGGTCATCAGATTGTCCTGTTATTATATATTGGGAACTAAGAGAGTAATTTGCTAAGAGTTAAAAATGGGACTTAATTCCAAGCCGTTAAATCCAGTGTAGAATAAGATCCGGAAAGAAAATATTTTTAAAATTCTATGTAATGAATTAATGATCTTCAAAAGAACCCTTATTTGGTCTCACAACCTGAAATATGTGACTTCCTTTATTGAGTCAAATCTATTCCATGCTAGGTCTTCTTCTCTTATTTTACTGTCTTCAGGCTTTCCTGAGGTACCGGTCTTTTCCATTGAGACTTATTTTCTGATTTTATGTCCAAAATATAGTAGCCTTTGTTTAATTGTTTTAGCTTAAAGTTAGTGTTCAGGCTTTAGAACCCACTTATTTGTCTGGTTGACAGTTCATAGTATCTGTAATAATCCTCCAAAACCACATTTCAAATAAATTTATTTTCCCCCCTTCAGACTTCCTTACTGTCCAACCTGTACATAGAAATAGTAGTAGTAGGCATCCTTCAGTCTCGAGAGACTATGGTATCATGCTCTGTATGGAGGTCTTGGAACAGCGTCTTGTGTGGCTGAGAAGGCCAATTCGAGAGTGACAATCCCTTCCACACTGGAGACAAATCCAATCTGTCCCCTGTCCAGCTCCCTGGTTTTGCTTGTTTCGGGACTGCCTCTTTGCCTTGGTCTGCTGTACAAGTGTCTCTTCAATTAAGTACATAGTAATCAGGAACACCATAGTCTTAACATCATGCTGGATAGGAAACTGTCCTATCCAACATCATATTCAAGTGTTCATTGTTTTAAATTTTGTTTTCTTGCCTTTGTATTTTACCTTCTCTTCTGGTAACTCTAAATAGAGTATCTGGATGCCTTACCTCTATTTATCTTCACTACCACCTTGTGAGGTACAGTAAGTTAGAGATACCTCACTCAACTTAATAGTAGGACTCTGATCAACTGTAGCTCTGAACCCTAGTTTTTTTTTTTTAACCTTAGTCAAAATTACCGTACTATAAGCACAATACGGCACTGTGATGCTATTGAACATGTACTCACATGTTACAGAGGAAAGCAGTGGCCCATTTCGGAGAAGATTGGCAAGACACCCCTTCTCAATGGAACTCTTGAACAGAAATGATTTCTGGGTTGTATTGTATTAAATAGAACTGCTTTTGAACTCTTTGTTTCCTCACATTTTATTTTTAATAATTTTATTTTAATCTTTGAACAGCACAGCTGGAAGGAACTCTATGGATCACCGAGTCCATCTCCTCTTAAGTAGGCTTAAGAGGGGAATTGAACTCCCAGCCTCTGGCTCTACAGTCAGATGCCTTAAACCAGTGA